AGTCTCTGGTTCGGGTTGGCTCATCTCAGAGAGATGAGGGGGTACCTGTTGCTTTTCTACAGGGAGGTGGATTGAAATTGTCCACTGAGACCATGGCTAGTGACATGGACTGCCTGACAAGGTCTCGAGATAGCAAGAGGAAGGTTGCAGGCTTAACTTGTATGGGAAATTACAGCTGTTTCTATACAAATGCTAGAAGTGTCCGAGGTAAAATCGGGGAGTTGGAGTGCTTGGTGAGGGAGGGAAAAATAGACATTGTGGGTATTTCTGAAACTTGGTGGGATGAGGAAAATCAGTGGGACACAGTGATTCCCGGTTATATATTATATCGGAAGGATAGGGGGGGGAGGGTTGGAGGTGGGGTAGCTCTGTATGTCAGAGAGGGTATAAAGTCCAGAAAGATTGAGAGGCTAAGAGAATTGGATTCGCTTCTGGAAATTCTATGGGTTGAAATAGGGAGGCCAAAAGGAAACTTAACACTGGGTGTTTGTTATCGCCCACCAGATCAAAAGATAAAGGAGGAATATAAAATGATGAATGAATTAAAGATAGCAGCTAGACAAAAACACTGTGTCGTAATAGGTGATTTTAACTACCCACACATTGATTTAGTCAATATGTGTTCTAGTCGGGAAAAAGAGATTGAGTTTCTAGACACTCTAAATGACTGTGCTATGGAGCAGATGGTCACGGAACCTACCAGGGGAGAGGCGATCCTTGATTTGGTCCTAAGTAACTCTCAAGACCTGGTGAGAGATGTAAAAGTGATTGCACCACTTGGGAACAGTGATCATAATGTTGTTGAGTTCAACATTTGTATAAATAGGGAATTGGCCAAAAAGACTGACACAACCACTTTTAACTTTAAAAGGGGTAACTTCTCTGATATGAGGGGACAAGTGGGGAGGAAACTGAAAGGAAAAGTAGAAAGGGTCAAAACCATTGGGGAAGATTGGAAACTATTTAAAACTATGATCCAAACAAACAGGTATAGGAAAAAGCCTGCATGGTTAACAAACAAAGTAATGGAAGCTGTAAAAGGTAAAAGGGGTGGTGGGATTACTCAATTGGAAGCTGTACTACCAAGCATCAGCCTTAACCTGGATAAAAGATTGGATCTCCTTGGATAAAAACAGAATGTTACGTTTAGAAGGACATGACTTAAGAATGGGTTGGCACGTGTACACATGGTATGGAAAAGATAAAATACACTCAAATGTTACCCAACATATGATAAGGGGAGCACTTTCAAAGGTCAGGATGGAGATTAAAGACAGATAATATATTAAAACACCAAAATGGGTCTCACCTTTGGAAGCATTTATAAAACCCTCTCTCCAAAATCAATGTGATAGAATAAACTATGATATATTACTAGATTGTAATAATGAATTAAAATCAGATGAAGTACTAATATCCCTATATAAAATCAAATTAACATGGTGGGGAAAAGTACAACTTCAATCTAGACACACTAAAGATATAAAGATAGGCTTCCAAGAAACCAATACTTTATTAGGTAAGATATGGTTATCAACAAATGATAAAATGGTGCAAAAACTGTACACATTTTTGCTAGAAGACTATATGCAAGATCAGGTAGTAAGTCCGGTTATAGTGACTTGGATGAAGGACATAGGTCATAATATAGATATTCATAAATGGGCAGAAACATGGAAAGCGGCTAAATTTATGACAGCTATAACTTATAAAGGAAATATCTATAAAGTGTTCCATCGTTGGGACTGGTCGCCAGATAGAGTAGCGAAATGCAACCCATCCTTGAATAGGGAAAGTTGGAAATGTAAAATAAATGTTGGATCATTCTTTCATATGTGGTGGCGATGCAGCAGAGTACAGAAGTATTGGAAAATGATACAGAAAATAATATCTGAAATAATGAATGCAAAGTTGGAATTGTCTCCAGAAATAGCTTTATTACATATTATACCGGATGGGTTTAATTTAAAGAAGAAATACCTGATAATTTATATTTTAACATCTGCCAGGATTTGTTGTTGTTGTTCAGTCGCACAGTCGAGTCCGACTCTTCGCGACCCCATGGACCACATCACGCCAGGCCTTCCTGTCTTCCGCCGTCCTCTGAAGTTTGCTCAATTTCATGTTCATTGCATCTATGACACTGTCTAGCCATCTCATCCTTTGCTGTCCCCGTCTTCTTTGACCTTCAAGCTTTCCCAGCATCAGAGTCTTCTCCAGTGAGTGCTCCCTTCTCATTGGGTGGCCAAAGTATTTGAGCTTCAGTTTCATTATCTGGTCTTCCAGGGAACAGTCAGGGTTGATTTCTGTTAGGATTCACTGATTTGATCTCCTTGCAGTCCTAGGGACTCTCAAGAGTCTTCTCCAGCACCATAGTTCAAAAGAATCTATTCTTCGGCGCTCGGCCTTCCTTATAGTCCAACTCTCACAGCCATACATGACTACTGGGAATACCATTGCTTTGACCATGCGGACTTTTGTCGGCAGGGTGATATCTTTACTTTTTATCATGCTGTTTAGGTTCGCCATAGCTTTCCTCCCAAGGAGCAGGCGTCTTTTAATTTCATGGCTGCTGTCACAGTCTGCGGTGATCTGGGATCCCAGGAACGTGAGGTCTGTCACTACTTCCACAACTTCCCCTTCTATTTGCCAAGGAGTGATGGGGCCGGATGCCATGATCTTAGTTTTTTTGATGTTGAGCTTCAAGCCCACTTTTGCACTCTTCTCTTTTACCCTGAGCAAGAGGCTCTTAAGGTCCTCTTCCCTTTCTGCCATTAGAGTGGTATCGTCTGCATACCTGAGGTTGTTGATCATTTCCCCAGCAATCTTAATTCCCGCTTGTGATAGTATTAGCCAAATATTGGAAACAAAAGGAAATTCCCACTAAAGACGAGGTAATTAATAAAATACTAGAGAGAGCAGAAATGGAAAAGCTGAGCTTAACTCTACAAGGTAAAGATGGCAGTATTTTCTCGGGAAGATGGGCAACTCTTTATAATTGGTTGACTATGGAAAATGTAGACGCAAATATGTAAGACATGTAAATATATGGAATGTAATGAATTTGTAAAAACTGATAAATCAATTTA